ATTATTCTCATTTTTCTCCAAACTACAAGTATTATAATCGTTAAGATCATGAATTGCAGGATTTATTCCTGACAATGTTACTGATTTTTCGGTAACATTTAATATTTTTATTGGTATTTTTCCCCTAATTGTGTATCGAGCTAGCCAAATAAACGCCATCTGAATCAAGTGAAAACCAGTTAGAATATAATGTATGGATTCACTTCTTGGGGGAATTTCCAATACGTTAATATTATAATTATTAGTTAAAGGCAAGCAACAAGTGTGGCCTGACCCTAACTTCAAAGATAAAATATTTTTCTTGAAATCTAAACATGCTCCAAATCTATTCAAAAAGTCTCTACCTAGAACTCCATGCGACGAAATTGGTAACGAATTAAAAACAAAGAACTTGTGATTAATAACAGATCCATGAATCGTTAATGGAATATAAACATATCCGATTGTTTGCACCTCGCTACCTAGACACGTTTATAATTACATTCTCTTTATGAAACACTTCATTCGATAGCATGTTTATATGTTACGGCGGATAAAGATGCGGCCGTGTCAACTAAGAAATAATAAGTTTTATTGCATGACTATCTATCCAACCCTATGGATTTGGTCGGGGATCCCCTTATTACCTTGTATTTTTGTAGATTGTTAGGCCTTTTTTATTATCATTTCTTTTCATAAATCTTGTACGTACTTTCTCTTTTCTTTTTAATTAATATTTTGACATTTAGCTGGCTTTATTTCTCTCTATTCACTCATATATGTATTTATTTATTAAATATCGGGAACCGGAGTTTCAATTCACTACAATTATATTTCATTTCATGATATTTATCATGCAGGTACTTTATACACATACATATGGGCCCCCCATTTACTTGGGTATTATAATCATTTTATTTTATTGCTACATACATTTTTTTTTCATACTGTATCAAGGTAATAGTGTACCTTGGGTTGTGCGCACAACCTTCAGGTCTACGTTTTTTATGTCACTTTTAAAAGACTCCAAAAATTGTCACAGAGGAAAACTATGTTCGCACCATGATCCAACGAAGGATGTGACCTCAATGTACCACTATTAAGCGTAACAAATTTAAGACTTCTCTGGTCCCTAACAGTACTAATATGAGTAAACTCATGTATATCACTTGTACTGAAGGCGTTGTTCCCTAGTACCCGTAACTCCTTACATTATCATCCTATCACGGAAGCATACCCTGCTTGAGGACTATATGCTTTACCAATGATGGACGTTCCCATATCTCTCCATTACTTATTTATTAAGGCCAACTTTTGTTTTATTTTCATATATTATTTTCTTAATATTATGGACATTATTTCTATACAATTCATAATAAATTCTCATTTCGCTTATTAAAACTCATCACTTCTTTAACCGTCAACCTTAAAAAAATTAATCAGTTATTAGTTTTCCAAACTCTCGGCTGATCAGGCTGATTGTATGTGGATATGCTAATCACCGACAATTTTCTTTACCTATGTCACTCAAACCTATAATATTATCAATACTTTTCATTTATAATTATGGTCTGTTACTTATTCATAAATTTACATACATCTTTTACAAATTTACGTCATATAGTCTCATATGTTATTTAATGTACATCATTTATAGTCAGGGAACGAGGCTCTCAATATCAGCACAACAAAATTTAAATAAATAAAGTGTATACATAAAAAGGAGTTTCAAAGTCATATACAGCAAGAAATTATTTCATAACCCTCACAAGTAAGTACTCTCTTTCGAGGAAATAATACATTAGAATAGTTGAAAAGATTTAAATATTCTAACAATATTAAACCGAAATTAAATTACTATATTGCATATTAAAATGAACAGAACCAAGAAATTGGGAACTTAATTCGTCATCACTACCATAACAACGGAAAAATCAAAATACAAATTGTAATCCTAGCAGCGCAAGTTATTTGAAACAGCTTTGTATTAAATTTCAAAGTACGTATATCGAAACATTTATATCTAACTTTGACCACACATTGTGATTCATACCTAATTTTTAGAAAACTTGTACAATATGGTATAATATGAGTTCAAGTAAAATGTACCTTAAAGGTGATTCTTAAACATTACTTTAATTTACACAAAAGTCAAGAAATAGTTACATTGTTAATAATTATATTACTTTTACGTAGATCGAAAAAGATTTCTAGAAATATGATATTTATTGTATCGAGTACACAAAATAATTAAAATCACTATAACATCTATGAACTTAACACCACGCTACATTAATTTACTTAAATATTCAAAGAACAAAATTTAATATTTTTCGTAATATTATATAAATTAATGATTTAATGCCCTTACAGAAATAAACTAAAACTTGAAACGATATTTTAAAAATTTGGATACGGAAAAAAAACTATGAAACATATCACAGTGAAATTTCAAATCAAGTACGTAAAAATGTAATCTATTATACTATTATCACATAAATTTTTAGGCAGAACACAGTAGTAAATAATATAAAATTATAACCGAACAAAAGTCACTCAGGTCCGAAAATTACCTCCTGATTTCTTCTTTGTTTTATTAGCGCAGTTTTCATAATATTCTGGGCTAAGCTCGCTGGAGTACAACTGATTCCACATTTTATTATCCTCATTCTTCGTTTACCAATTAATAAATTAATATCTTCGTAGTTTGATTGTCTTTATAGTACTACACATATTTCAATTTTAATTTTGAGTAAACTTCTTTAAATTATTATTATGGCCACTTCTCGTATCAGTTTTTGGTTTCCTTGTCACATCCGGTAGTATGTTAATTAAATAACTGTTTTTTTTTTATTATTTCTTTATTATTTATTTAAATTATTTTCCCATTTTATTAAAAAATTGCAGGCCGCGGCGGTTCGCTGCGACAATGCACGCGCAACGCCTGGCAGGGTCGCCATGTAATCTCGTACGGTTGTTAAATAAAAGGGAGACGTGTTTATCTACTCAAGACTTTAATTATACTGTCCCTTATTCTACACTTAACACAAATATATATAATTTCGTGGAGCCACACTACAGCTGAAAACGAACAGAATAAATTTTTACAAGTATATTTTATGGGTGACGAAAAAATTGAGGTAGACCGTCGCTGCCAATTTATCCAGGGAGTTGAGAGAGACACAGTGTTCAAAATTCAAAGATTCTTGCATGAATTTAACATTTTAGTTAAAACATTTAAAACTGCTTTAGAAAACCTACCTGAAGAGGATTATAAAGTCGTCATTAATGCAGATCGGATCCCTCGAGGAGAGCATGAAAGGCGCTACAATGCAACTTTGATAAACGAAATAGCAGCCGTAATTAGTGGTGATCAATTTTCTTCACGAGGCATTGTCTTACGAGCACGTGATGATACGTTGCAACGGGTAGCCGATACACACAAGTTTTATGACGCTCTGCAATACCCATTGATTTATTGCAAAGGACAAGAGGGTTATCATTTTCAAATTCCACTCATTAACCCGGTCACAAAGGAGCCTACTCCGAACAAAAAAGTATCATGTATGGATTTTTACGCGTATCATATGATGTTGCGAGAAAATGATTTTAACCTCTTAGCCCGGTGTAGACAATTATTTCATAAATTTTTGGTATCCATGTATGTGAATGTAGAAAGTGAACGTCTCCGTTATATATCTTTAAATCAAAAAAAGCTGCGCGTTGAGAATTATATACATTTAGAAGATGCAGTTTCTAGCGACGCCAATGTAAACCCCAAAGATTTAGATAAAATGGTAAGTCTGCCCTCATCATTCGGTAACAGTCCCCGCTACCAACATGAGTACACACAAGACGCATTCGCCTATGTACGAACTTACGGAAGACCTGATCTTTTGTTACTTTTACTTGTAATCCCACATGGAAAGAAATAACCGAGGAGCTAATGCCGGGCCAAAAAAGTACAGACAAACACGATTTAGTTGCTAGAGTATTTAGATTAAAAGTAAAAAAAATTATGTATCTAATTAACAAAGGGAAAATTTTCGGAGAGGTGCAGTGCTTCTTGTATTCAATTGAATGGCAAAAAAAGAGGATTATCGCATGCTCACATTCTAATATGGCTTAAAGAGAAGTTGCGGCCCAGCCAAATAGACGACATAATAAGCGCCGAGATTCCGGATCCGGATGAGCAAGATAAAGAATTGTATGATACCATCGTCCGAAATAAGATTCACGGTCCATGTGGAGCACGAAATTCAATATCGCAATGTATGAAAGAAGGAAAATGTACAAAGAAGTACCCTAAACAGCTATTAAAAGAAACAGTACACAATGACAATGGCTACCCTTTATACAGACGCAGAGCTCCCGAAGATGGTGGCAGGAAAGTTACAATAAAATCTCGCTCTGGATCGTTCGAAACCTTAGACAACAGCTGGATTGACCCATTCTATGTAAAATGTTTAATGCCCACATTAATGTAGAAGCATGTAGCTCTGTCCGTGCAATCAAGTATATCTGTAAGTACATAAATAAAGGAAGCGACCAAGCAATATTTAATCTCAGGAGTGAAGGTGAGGCAAATCCCGTTAATGAGGTACAGACCTTTCAAGCAGGGCGTTATGTCAGCAGTAACGAGGCAGCGTGGCGTCTCCTTGGCTTCCCTTTACATGAAAGGCACCGAACAGTTACTCACCTTGCTGTGCACTTAGAAAATGGAGAGCGTGTATATTTCACCGAAAGAAATTTCCAAGAAAGAATTGCATCACCGCCAAAAACTATACTAACAGCCTTCGTTCAACTTTGTCAAACCAACCCCTTTGCAAAAACGTTGTTATATTCTGAAGTCCAACGCTATTATACTTGGAACACATCTAGGAAGGAGTGGAAACGCCGTATTTAAGGCGCGCCTATTGCAAATTGGCCCGGTGTAAAGTCTTTTTAAAACGTTAAAAAAAACAACAAATTTTAGTTGGAAAATATTTTTTATTAATTTAAATCTTTTACAAGCCGCATTTTTAATTTACATAAGATGACAAGTCTTCTAATATGAATTTTTTAACGGGAATATTTTCAAAAAACTTATTCGTAAAAATATGCACAAAATCAATAGCTTTATCAAAAAAGGTTTTTCCGAATGTCTGCAATAGCAATTTCCAATTTTCATTCATAAATTTCAGCAGGTCTTCACCTGGAATAAAATGCTTAATATTTAAGGATATTCTATTCAGGAGGCTCTCGTAGCACTTGAAATATTTCATTTACTAATTTTCAGATGTTTTTAATCCCTTTTACATAATGGAAAATATCTATTTTTATTGCACTCTGTATGAAGCCCAGGAAGTAGCCTTTATATGAAAAATATAATTTAGTAACATAACCCTTTATAAGAAAACTTTTAACAGGCTGTGTATTATATAATTCTTCAAATAAATGTTATAAAACGAATTGCTCAAAATACAAAAGGTTTCGTTTTAATAATTAAATTTTATGTGCACCACGCATCTTCTGGCGCCACTTTGCTCAACGAGCCGACCGCGCTTAGGGCTCATTCATAGTGTCACATAAATAATGAAGAAATTATAGGAGTGCCACAAAACACGTTCCTGAGCCCCCAACACTATTGACTCCATCAAGTGGGAGGACGCCCTACATTTCCCCTACCGCTATCTTCATTATTTTGGCGGAGGCTTATGTTCAGCAGTGGACTTGTGAGGGGCTGTAATGAATGAATGAATGAGAAATTATAATTATTACAAGGATTTATTATTTGGGATTCAAGAATTATTTGTAATCCTGCTAGTTGTTGAACAAGACTGGTGATCGACTGAGTATGCAAAATACATACTTTAACCCTTTCACTGTTCGATTTTCAGACATAATAGTAAGAAAATAGCCATGAACTATATGTAGTACACGAGATAGGCAACTATTTCTTAGCTATTTAATTACGATTCATACTTACTAGCATTTTTTTCACCAATCATTATATTATCAGCATCAAACGTAGCTTTTCCCAAAACATTAAAATCATAGGTCGCTTCTTCTATTTGTGGTTTGAAATAAATATCACCATCGTCATGTTTCACTAAGCGTAACGGTATTTCTAAATGCACTTCAATTTTATCTGAAAATCAAAATTTCAAAAATATTACTAAGTGTTGCTAGAGATATTTAACTAATATGCACATTATAATTGAAATATTACCGATTACAATTTTTCCATTTCCTTTACCATGAATGTCATTTTCAATGCCTGCTCCTTTAAAAAGCGCACCAGTTCCTTCCATTATGTAATGGCCCCGAATTACGAAGCGGTCACATAAGATTCGTAGTGATACCTTTTTGAGGGAATCTTCTACGCGATGACTGTAATTAACATGTTCGTTTATCAGTTGTATAATATTGAAGTGTTATCATTAAACACAATTAAAAAGAAAATTAATTCATCTGTTATATGTAATGTATTCCTTGAAATTGTAGTAAGTTTCAGAAAACTTATAATGAAAGAATTATTACCATAAAGGTAACTTCTTCTATTTTAAAGGTACTTACTGAGTAATTTTACAGCTTGTTATGCCCTCTACTTCTCCTTCTATCAAGGTGATATTTAAAACTCCTAGTATTGAGACAGTAGAATCTTTTAACTTCATGGGCTCAATTTTATTTATTCCAATTTCAGGAGCTCCGTTGTCTCCGAGTTTTTTAATTAATGATTGATAGAAGGTTTTCATACATTCATCATCTTTTATGCTGCATTTGACTAAAGTATCCACTGAAAATTTTAAATATATACCAGTTATTATAATAACATTACAAAAATTACGAATAACAATCACAAGTTGTATGGCAGGCAAGTTGAGTGTCACTGACAAAGCTGAACCTTTTGTAAGTTTTTTTTATAGGATAAGGGTGACAAATAAGCACACAGTGCACTTGATGGTAAGTGGTTGCTGGATCATAGACATCTGCATCTATTCTAGATTACCAATCAAAATGCCGATTCGTTGTCATCTGTGAGGACTAAGATGGATGCTTCGTTTCCAGGAAAAAGGGTGCCCGGTTCTCTACACTCACCAAAAGAAAACAGCAGCATAGATACGCTATTCGTGAGAACGTGGTTCTTCCCTGGTAGAAACGACCCATTAGTCCTTTAACTATACTACTAATATAGCTGCAGCATGGCTCTGTCAAGTATCAGGTAAGTGGTCATATTACACAACGACGAAAAAATATTTTAAAGTATGCTGTCGGATATTTTTTATTCGAATAAAAAGTGGAATTTTCATAACGTAAGTGACTTCAGTTTTCGTAATCGGTACTGCTACATTTTAGTTGCAATTTTAGTTATTAAGTTAACATAAAAATATTAGATATGAAAATAACAATAACAGGGGTGGAAATGGAATCTCAGTTTTTTTAAATATATATTAGACAAATGAAAGGAAAAAATACTTTTTAGTACACATAATTCTTTAAAGACAGCGATGAAACAAGAAGAAATAGGAGATTAAGCGCACTTTTTCTTCCTAAATTACATTTTATAGAGATATACAGTCTACTTTAAAAATATTATAATTAAGAAATTGATTACTAACCTAATGCAGATTCACAAAACACCAAAAAACTTGCAATTAAAAAACCTAATAATTTTAGTTTAAGCATATTGCTCAACGTTTGTGACAGCCCAACAGAAGTTTTAAAACTAAGTAACAAATATCCATTTCAGCATACTTTTATATATGAGTAGTTGAAATAAAAAATGGAATAATTAATGAATGGTTAAAAAAAACATACATAAACACCGAAATTCTTTACTTAAAGCAAAAAGTGTTCACAGGAAGCACTTGTATTTATACGCTTATAACTTTTTTGTATCGCATATAGCTTTTGTATCCTTGCTAAAAACAAAGGCGTTGTTTTTCATTTTATATCATGACACCTGTTTTTTTATATAATTTTGTTCTTTATTTTTGATTTCATCACGTGAATTTAGAACAATCACCACGGTAGATAGAAAAAAAAATTTTGTCAGATTTAGGAAAGTAGTAAAGAATATAATGATTTCTTATATTATCTCTTATAGATATTTTGGTTATGTATAGTATATTAGGTATTACAAATTAAATATATTTTTAAACTAATAAGCTAGTGCTAGTATATTTCACCTGATGGTAAGTGGTGATGTAGTCGAAGATGGTAAAACACACTGACTTAGCTTAACAAAACCTATTCACGCATGCACTGAAGATACCCATAATGTAATTGAATGAATAAATGAATGAATGAAGAAATATTTTTAAAGTAATAATTTACACTTTTGTACCTCCAATACAAAAAAACATAGAAACAGCGTGTCAGTCCCAAACCAGCCGCAAGTGAGGTCCGGGCTACGAGCAATGCATTCGTGTCATCCGCGGCGACCTAACCAACGCCCTGGGAAGCGGTTATCCAGCCACTGTCGGATATTCGATGTGAAATGTGGTGAATCTCCATCTTGCATAAATATTATATCTTCAATGTTATCAAACGTTGACAAAGCTGGCTAAACTCTTTTTTCGAGCATGTTGAGATAGCGCTCTCCATTCATTGTTTCCCTCAAAAGAAAATGGCCGATAACTTGATGTCATACCGCACGTAACTGTTACCTTGGAACGGTTTTGCATTTTCTGAACAGTTATTTTGGGGTCAAACTCTGCCCAATAATGACAGTTATGACAGTTAACAAAACCTCCAACGTGAAAAATTGCTTCGTCAGTCCAGATAATGTTATCAAACAGTTCTGAACAATCTCCATGCCATCTGAGCATAATATCTCCGTATTCCATCCGGCGATCACAGTCCTCTGGAGTTATTTCATGGCAGTAATGTGGCTTCCAAGGACGAAAGCTGATAGACTTAAGGGCTGTCATTACAGTGTGCCGTGTAAGTCCGCTCTCACGAGCTGCTTGACATGTTGACTTCTAGGGACTTTTTGTGAACATTTCTCGAACAATTTTAATATTTTCTTCTGATCTTGATGTTGAAGGACGGCCGGTTCTTTTACTATCTGCCACTGATTCAGTTTTCATCAACTTTGAATGACAGTTTTTAATGGTTTTTGCATCCAAAACAGCATGAGGTCCGTTGAAATTCCGCCACCACCTTTGCACTTCCACTATTGATTGCCACACTTCGTAGCGAGAGGCAATTTGCGTTCGCTCTTGCATTGACAATCTCCCTTGAACCATTTTATGAAGTTTTATTACGAAAAAAGAGAAAATTGCGACTCAAGCCGCGGAAAAATTTGTGACGTTTATGGACATAATCTATGGACTGACACTGCACAGTAAAGTACAGTAGCATAAAGTTGATTCAAGCGTTTTCAGTCCGGGAAATTTGATGTCTAAAATGTAGCTCGCTGTGTTCGCCTCCATACGTATAAAGTTGATGACAATTTTGAAAACCGGAGCAAGATCGGCATATCAATAGTTAGGACATAGCCGAGGAATTGAGAATTGACCACAAAACAATTTTGACCGATTTGAAAAAGTTCGGCTATATAGAAAATATTGGGTACCCCACGAGCTCGCTGAAGGAAACCTAATGAATCCTGTACTCATTTGCGATTATTTGTGGAAACGTAATGAAACCGAGCCATTGTTGAAAATATTGATTACTGGTGATGAAAATGGACCATCTGCGACAAGAACGTGTGAAAAAGATTATAATCAAAGGGTAGTTAAGCTCCACAGATTGTAGCCAAACCCGGATCAACATGCAATAAGGTGATGCTGTGTGATGTTGGGATTGGAAGGGCGACGTTTTTTTTGAGCTTTTACCGCCGGGCAATACCATCGATTCGGATCTCGATTCGTCATCGATCATCGATTTGATTTGATTTGAATGCATTCACCATATAGCCCTGACCTTTCACGCTCAGATTTTCACCTGTTTCGGTCTCTTCAGAATTCTTTAGGTAGTGTTAACATAAAGAGAGGGCTGTCAAAACTACTTGTCACATTTTTGATCAAAATTCCAAAATTTCTAAAGCAATGGGATTATGTCACCTACCTATAAGATGGCAACAAGTTATTGAACAAAATGCCACATATGTATTATAATTAAATATAGTTAAACTTTAAAAAGTCTTGAATTTTTATATAAAATACGAAGAAACTTTTTCCCCGACCTTATATGTCCTTCGTAGCATGTATGTGTGATGACGGCTCAAGATAATTCATCACTCCATTTCATCCCGTTGGTTTCTTAAGGCATATGTAGTATGGAAAATGTCAAAAAAATCTTATAAGTTGAACTAACTTGAAAAATCGTTACCTCCACACTAGGACCGTATCTTGAAGACCTTTTATACATATACATACATAAATTATGTGTAGAAAAACATCTAGATACGGAACAATTATTTGTAAGCAATAGAATTATTTATTCCATTGGTCGCCATAATATAAAATTCTTTAAGTCAATTTTTGCTGTATTGAAACCGAAACAGAAACTTTTTTATTCAATATAGCTTATAAATAATATTTATCAACTGTCACTTTTTTTTAATTTAACACTAGTTCGGAAAAAAAGGCCTCTGTCCTGGGAAAAACCAGCAAAAAAACCCAGCCGGACTTTTTCTTTGAAAATAACAGCTTACAATCATGTATGTTGCAAATAACAGCAAAGAATAAATTAGAAATAGCTTATTAGCGATCATCTTACCCAAGGGTAATTATCATCCATAAGTTCCTTAGCATTATAATAACCCTTTTCGTACAAACTTAGTTTAATAAAGTTTTTGAACTTTGAGCAGTTAAAATTTTGTATATTTTCTGGGTATTTTACACCATGTAAATTAAAATATATATTTATGATAGATTTTGTAAAAAATAAACAAAAAATATTGATTACTGTTTATAAAATTGCATTATAAATTTTAAATTTCCAGATTAAGAATATTTTTTTCGTCTGTTCCTCAAATCTGCAAAACGCTGTCGGCCATATTAGAACATGTCGTGACGTCACTGATCCAGCCTAAAGATGTGTTCTGTGTCACTGAAGAGAACTAGCTAACGTACTGCGTTATTTTGAAATTTTTAAGTTATAATTACGATTATTGAGTTTTATACCGAATTTTATTGAAAAGGCATCATGGAAGATGAATTTGTGAAAAAAGAAAGTACTAATCTACCAAGGATAAATAAATTGATGGTGGCAAAAAATTTTGCATGCAATCCCAATTTTTGTTCTGCCGAGTTGAGGAATGTTAAAACATCAGTGTAAGTACCTTTTACCAACTTTTGTTTACTCAAAAATACAATACCAGGTCATAGTGTTGCAAACCTAGTTTAGTAGCTATCATAGTTTAGTTTATCTATAATTACAATCATTAGCCATCGTTAGTTATAATATCTAAGTTAACGTAATTTATTACAAAATTAGATTTGCGATACCTTTCACCTCATGATGTTTTGTCCTGTATTAAACGATAGTTAAATAAAAATCATTTGGCTTGTTTAATACTGAGTGTTTTAGGGCAGAAAAATTCCGCCACGCTGCCCTAATGCATGTTGGCGGTTTACACACGTCTTTTAAATATTTTATTGAATTCCCATACAACCAGGTTTCTCAGGATGTTATTACTCCTTTACTGCTGAACACGTGGTAAATTCTTTGCAAATTATAGGCAAATTTACTAATAAATTATAATGCAAGAAATCATCAAGATAATACGAACTATCCTTCGAAATTACGTAGTTAGAGTCGATGTTACAATCCTCAGATAAAATTTATTTATAAGAAAAGAATACAGTTGTATAACTAAAATAGTTAAATTGTTACTTTTATATTCAGTCAGTTTATAATAACTCTTATCTGACGATTGAAAAATATACCTTTGTGTTACTACAGAAAGGGACACACAGAACACTGTGAACTTCTACTGTATAGTACTACTACTGTATAGTAGAAGTTTACAGTGTTTTGTAGTTATTCATCTATCACCTACATGGAATAAATTAAAAGCAAAAATACGAGGGTGGATTGAAAAGTACTCGGCCTAACCAAGAAAATAAACACATACTAAATCAGTTATATTTTTATTTTTCTACATAATCACCATCAAGTTCAATACACTTTTGCCACCTCCCCTTCCAAGCATTTAGACCGTTGAAAAAAAATGATTCTTCCTTAGAGTCAAAATATGCGTCTACAGCTGCTTTGACCTCGTCGTTTGTCGAAAATCTTTGACCTCCCAAGTGCGTTTTTAGGTTAGGGGAACAGAAAGAAGTCTGATGGTGCCAGATCAGGTGAATGCGGATGCGGTAACAGTTCAAAGCCACAGTTGTGAATTTCAGCCATTGACTGTACTGACGTGTGAACACGGGCGTTATCTTGATGAAACAGGACTTTTCTTCTGAGCATTCCTCGACGTTTTCTTTTATTTTCTCTCGTAAACGACGTAGTAAGGTGCAGTAGTAAGCAGAGTTTATAGTCTGACCCCTTTCAAGATAATCAATCATAATCACACCTTTCGAGTCCCAGAATACTGAAGCCATCACCTTATTTGCCGACAAAATCGACTTAGCCTTTTTTAGGGGGTGGTGAACCAGGTCTTCTCCACTGTTTTGATTGTTGTTTTGTTTCCGGTGTACAGTAATGAACACATGTTTCGTCCATAGTAACAAAACGATTCAAAAAATCATCTGCATCGGCTTCAAATAACTCCAAACAGTCGCGTGAAATAGTTAATCGCGTCCTTTTTTGTTCAACTGAAAGCAGTCGCGGAACCCACCTCGCAGACACCTTGTGGAAACCCAACTCGTTGACAATGATGTTTTGAGTTCGTTCATAAGAGATGCCTATAATCTCGGCTATCTCTCTAATTTTTAATCTGCGGTCTCCCATTATTAAATCAAGTACTTTTTTTAATATTTTCGTCAGTAGTTGACGTCGAAGGCCTTCCAGAGCGGGGTTCATCTTTCACACTCTCTCTACCACGCTTAAATTCTGCTATTCATTTTTTGACGGATGAATATGAGAGAGCACAGTCGCCTAATGTACTGACCATGTCATCATGGATGGCTTTTGATGATAGCCCTTTCTTATGGAGGTACTTAATGACGGTACGCTGCTCGATTTGCTCCATTCGCGGAAATTATGTCCGATTACTTTGTTAATAAATTTATAAAATCACAACTAATTATCGCACACGTTTCGAACTTCACACAATGAACTAGTCCGAACTGAACTAAATAATGTGGGTAGATTTGATTTTTAGAATTGAATGGATCTGTGTTAGGCCGAGTACTTTTCAATCCACCCTCGTAATCCTTGAACTTATTACGATGCACATAGACAACAGACATATTCAAGTAAAGAGTTTTCCTTGATCACAACATTGTTTACCTACAAAGTGTCAAAGATGTGTGATCTCTGATATTACTTACATTGTAAATTATCCCACCAAGCAGTGTGATTATGGTCAAACTTAAAAAAAAAAACGGTTTCGGTACTACAAGTCTGGCAATTTTGACATACTCCTAGTTATGGCTATGCTGCACTAAATACTGAAAACAAGCATAGTATGCTATTTAAATCTTTTTGTTACTTATCATCAGTTTGTTTGATTAGTATTTAAACGAAATAATTATTTAATTTTTGGTTTCTGGCGCTAAATTATTAACGCCCAAAAATTATGCAGCACATACATGAAAGCAGGTATGTTTTAAATTATGAGAATAATGAGTTTCGCAAAAATTCCAAGCAGTCACGTAATAGCCACGAAATGAAAAGTGTGATTGGAGAGATTTTGAGTTCTCTTTAGCCGTGTTTTGCAAAACATATCTCCAACAGCATGAACAGTTTCCATGAGCTTGTCATTTATATCGTCTACTGAATTGCAATCTTCAAGGCAATTTTATTTGTACAATTTATTGTTTTATATTTTTCAATCCTTTTGTTATTATAATATTGTCGTGTTCATATATTATCTTATATATATATTTTAAAAGCATTAGGCAACACATTTTCAAATACCGTATTATGATTTTTCTTTACTTTTCAGAAAACTTTCAAAGATTATTTCTGTTTTTGATATTCACCATATGAAATTTCATTAAGAGAACTAAAGGTAAGTAATTTTAAAATAAACAGAAATGTTTTGTAATAAAATATATTAAGATAAAAAAATCACAATACAAGTTAATTCTTCAGGTACGGTGTTAAGTCATCAGAAATGTAATATTTTGCTGGAACCAGATCGAAGAAGTTCCCAGCAAACTTAAAATAGTAGTCTGCAGCTTTATCAATAAAGATTTGTCCAAATGACTTCATAAGGAACTTCCAATTTTCATTCATGTAACCGACAACGAATTCACCTGAAACAAAATATTTAAATCTTAATTGTATACAGTTTTGAAAGACAATAAACATAATAATAGTTTTACAAAAGTTTATATATATTATTGCGTTAGATAAGTATTCTTTTAATGACTTAATACTAATTTATATGACATGATTTTATCCTATAGACCAATTTAGAGCACGTCGGCATCCTCCAAGTATCTAAGTTAACAAGATGCCTACGGCGTATAGGACCACGAGAACATGACGTATGGTGCACATAGGACACTCAGTGCACACGCTGAAACTCAGGCAAAGGCTTATTCTAACTTGATATAATGCTGCAATAAGCTTGAAGTTAAGATCCAGTGACATAGAAAGAAAGAAGTACCATAGAAATAGCTTTCTGAAAGACTAAGCGCTCTCTATAAATTTTGTAGTACGCGAGCAATCTCAGATCGATCCCTGCCGGTACCAATGTAATTGTTAATTGCAATGATGGGTACTGATGTGTATCGTTCTCAGCGAAGAAAGGAAACAGTGTGCTGAAACCGGCATGATATTATAGTCCAACAAAATAACAGTTTAGCAAGGATTAAGCAGTGCGACGGACTAACTGCTTCTTAACACGCAGAAACGAGAGGAGACCTGCATCCAATACGACTATAGGCTGTAAGTTTACATTCACTTTTACTAGAAAACAAATTTAGGAAATCTTTGAAAATATTTAAGACACTATAATTCAAGTTGATATGTGACAAATATTGTGATTCAACTCGTCTAGACTATTAACAGAAATATAGTAGGGTTAGATTGGTAACAAAATAGAGTCAACAAAATAGGATAGGTTATTTTTATGTAATCTGAAAATGTTATACTTACTAACGTCTTCTTTTCCTAAGTAAATTTTATCAGCAGAGAAGGTCACTTTGCCCAGAACATCAAAGCTGTTTTTTATTTCCTTGTAATCGCAAGTTATATATATTTCGCCATCGTCACGCCTTTGCGCGTAAAAGGGAAAGACAAATTCTATAAGAAGTTTTTCTGTAAAGCAAAGACAATATCAATTCCATCAACAATTAATTCTTAAATATCTTATATATTCTTAAATATCCCTTCATATTTTTTACCATTTCAATTCTTATTTCACAAAATATTAAAAACCTCTATCACATATAAAACATTTATCTGTTGAAAACGACTTGTAGCATTATATAGAATTTTAAAATTATTGAAATACAAACGAAGAAAGAATGATACCATTTTAAGAATCGTTAGTTCTTTTTTCTGTAGATTATAAAAACAAAAGAATGAATAAAAGCTGAATGTAGTCCGGGGTTGATCCTGATATCTTAGCATCAGTACGCCCAACATCTCAGTTCCCGTTAGCGGGATAGTGGAAAACATTTAACCAAATAAATCTAAAATAAATAAAAATTTAACGCGAATTTAGTCTCCGTATAATGTGTGCTATTCGCCTTAACCTAGGAAAATATGTTAATAATATGATTGATACACACTAATAGCTATTTTTCCGTTTCCTTCCCCGTGTATGCTAGAGCCCCCAAGTACACTTTCAATAAGAGGTGAAGCTGCATCTAACAAATAGTGTCCTTTTATAGTGATGTCACAAAGTATCTCTTGCCTTCCGATTTCCTTATCAATGTCAGCTCTGAAAAAAGATATCCATCAACAGATGTGATAATGTCTTCTAGCCTGAATTGTGGTCACTGCGCCCTGTCTCAACGGAAACCAGCCATTTGCGCAGGATAGAATTATAGTGCACAAGCGTGAACGCAAGTACAGGTACACTCACTTTACTTAGCGGTAGGATTCCTTTTTTTCAAAGAGCTTCTGCCTCGGAGTCAGTCTGAGTTTGTATCCCCCTTTTATCTATTTAAGCTGACAAACAGCAGTGCAGTATAGAAACGCAATGGCCACTTACCATCAGGTGGTCTGTAAGTTCCTTTTTACATAAAAATCTTTCTATTCCCTCCCACTTTACAGATCCAGTGGGATGGCAATTTGACACGACGAGAGATATATAAGACGCAGGACCTACGGCTTTACGTCTTCTAAAGAGGGGGATCAAACCCCGCCAACATACGGACTTTGGGCTGCTACTAAGAATTTTTTGACAAAACACCACTAATTACACACCACTATTAATTTTGGTCCGACCCTGGGTTCGAGCGCAAGGCCAGTGTTTAGCAGTAACACCTACGATAACTAGACCAAAGAGGCAGTAGGTATAAAAAAATAAACAAACCATCGTTAATTTAGAATATAAGTTATATGAACCCTTTTTATAAATCGATGCCACTTCTAGCAGTGAAAATTACCTACTCTATATGGCAAACATTGTTTGGGCTTATTTATAATATGCCCTCTATTGTAATATTCCTGTAGAAACTTTAAAGGTCGTTAGAAAAATCTTAACTTGACTTGAAAAAACTCAGACATTATATTTAAAGATATAATAAACATTAGAAATATTTCATATTTAAAATAATAAGTGGTAAAGTTGTTAAAGGACGCCAGGGAAGGGAGTTTAACAATCAATTTGACGGTATTTTAAAGATTTAATTTTATTACCCTTAACTGATGAGCAGATATATATGGATGCTATAAAAGCGAGAGGGGATTTAGGATTATGCTAAATATAAGTCCGTATTCTCTGCCTACCCTTCTGGATAACAGGAGAGTATATGTATGTATGTATTTGTACATACTAAATAATATAATTCCCAGTGGCATTTAATTATCTATGTGCAATAAATCAATCAAAAGTAAAAAACTGAATGTACAAGATGTGGATATGCGGGGTAAATTTATAAACAGCATTATTTATTGTAAGATATATTTAAATTGAATTTGTTTAAAATGAAGTAATTAATAACTTATTTATTTATTTTAAACAAATTCTTAAATTTCTGAAATTTTCGTATTATAATAATTGTTAAGGTTTGTATAGACAAGGTCGTAAGTTATATCTACGAGTATGTATGATTTTGTTTCACCAGTAATCATGACGAATATTACTTACATGAATTTTTTAAATGTGCAGTCTTTAATGCCCGTAGCCTCTCCATCCAAAAGAGTTATATTGACCAAATTTAAAACTGACACCGATACATTTTCAAGATGAATAGGGTCAATTGGCGGTACATTCAGATCAGGAATACCCGATTTTCCAATTTTTTGTAGCGTGTCCTGAAAAAGCTGCCTCTGACATTCATTATCTTTGATGCTACATTTAGGTAGTGTATCAACTGAAAATCAAAATTTCCTTATTAAAATTACTGAAGTGAAAATTTACACAGTTCCAATTATTGATTTTAACTTACTAAATGCAGAATTACTCCAATCGAAGATTATAGTACAAGCGAGGATCACTGCTACAGTGTACTTTTGCATTTTCGACATTTATTCAGCATGAGAAATAATTGTATGAAGCAGAATGGATAATTTTGCTTAATATATACACTATTTACACATAAATATAAACGAATCTTATAAAAACGAAGTTCAAACTGGTTTGGCTTTGAAGGTAACCATAAAGATTTAGTTTACTAGGTATTAGAAAAAGATGCAGTGCTTTGTTTAATTTTTTCTCGTTTTCAACATACTTGTATCACGGTCAATATGTGCACTTTATTTAACTAATTATCATAGATGTTTTGTGAGGTAATTAGCATCTCGAGATAAATCATATTAATTATTCAAGATTTAGTGTGAGATAAAATTTATAAACTAAAATGCATGTTTAAAAAAAGAAAGAAAAAAACTTCATTAAAATTTAAAAAAATAAAATAAGGAATTTTAAGTTTTACGTGTGAGTTTGTATAAAATAGTTTATATTAAATTTTATTTACAATGATAATGTAAAATTGATTTAATAAATGTTAAAAATTTTCATTAAATACGTTAATATATAGGGATCGAAAGTTGTTTTTTAAATTATTGGAGCTTCATAAAAGTAACCCTGGTGACATGGTGTCTTTGGGTATATACAGCCAGCCGACTTCAAATTATAGCAGTTTGCATACAGTTTTCGGTACAGTTGAGATAAAATGAGATAAAATCATCGAGACTGCGAGACTGACAAGCGACAGCGCTGCCGCAATGCGGTCGGCGTGCAGAACTGTGATTTCATAGATATTCATAAGAGAGTTGGGCCTAGTTTCAATTAAATTTTTGATAGAAAAAACGGTTTTAATAAAAAGCATAAGTCGACTTACATGAACTAAAAATAATAAAATAGTTTCACATTCTTACGTTCCGGGCTTTATTTGTTTTATACACAATGTCTTAGCACTTTTTAGTTGTTTGAAGTCGGCTTTTTTAAATTAAAGATACTTTTTAAGCCTTTGAGTAGATTAAGGAATATTACAATCGTAGAAATAGTTACATCGAAAACCTCGCCCACTTTTTTCCATCCTTAGGTGTGGAACTCTTTCTCTAAATTTCTTTTCTAATATGGACCCCCCCCCCCCCCTATTTAATATTATTTAACAAAACTATAACCTTTTTAATATTAAAAGCTGTTCATAACTGAAACAGATATCGCGTAACTTACATACAAATAAAAAAGCATGTAGTTGAATTGTAAACCTTCTCTTGTATTTAAAATCAGCTAAAAATGTACATTACGGAATTTTTATGATAGATACTCTCTAGCGTATCATGGGTGATTTTACACTACCTACATGACATTGTGTTTACTATAATTTTAATATTATTATTTATTTAATTTTAAGTGTCCAGGACACATTACTACATTACACTTTTAAATTATAACTATCATAAAAAATTTATTACATATTTTATTTTTAAATTGTTAATGTTTACTTATTGTTATTATTATCTTGTAGTGGCGGTGTCAGAATATCCACTACCCAATATTTTCCCGTGGGATCATAAGAGTCGACGGGGGAAATAAATCTGGAGCTGCGCAGCAGCGTCTTCCTAACAGAAATAAATATGTAATAAATTTATAAAATAAATAAAACTACGGTTGCCAAAAGCGCGTGAACATCCTGACAACTATGGCAAATATCCCTCCTTTGAGGCAATTTATGTCTAGCAGTGATTAGTAATGTAAATTAGTAATTAGTAAATTAAATAAGTTAAAGTTGAAAATATCGATTGCTCAACTCAATCTGTTTTTTAATATATTCATCTTTCACGTGTGAAACCATGGAATATAAATGGCTGTTAAATTTTATTTTGTTTAGTTACAATTAAAATTTTTTTCGGCTGAGGAAATTCGAAATTTTCGGTGTTTGTACATGCTTTGTAATAATATATTTTACTTACTACAGATACAGATATACTTTGAATCACTGCGGGCTCGGTCGCCATCGTGAGTGGATTACTGTATCGTTTGTTTACGGCGGCTCGTAATAAAAATATCGATCGCTGTAGAAATACAAAATTCATATTCCATATATATCCAATAATAAATTCAATATTCCAAAAACTTAATTTGATACATATTTAGCCAAGGTAAGATATTACTATTATTTTTATAATCACGGAATTTCATTGCAATATAGTCTTGGACTTTATGGAGTGACTTGAAGGTGTACTTTGGTGAATGATAAATTAAAATAGTACACACGCTGCGGGCCTACCTGTAGAATATTAAGCGCGACAAGGTGACTCCCCGCACAGATACAAACGCTGCGCGTCGACCTACAGAACTTTCAGCGCGACACGGTGACACCTAACCTAACTGAAAAGAATATCTGTTACCCCATATTGCCCTCTAGGTGTAGTAAGAGGCGACAGAGGGATGCTGAATAACGGATGGGCAGCAGAATCTTCCTGATAACAGCAGAGTGAAAATAAAAACTGCGGTCGCCAATCCGCTTTCTAAGCGTGGTAACTATGGTAAATGTCCCCCCTCTTTTTATGGGGCAATCTATGTTGAAGGCCTATGTTCAGTTGTGGACTTTGATAGGCTATAATGGTAACGATATTTTTAGAGTATTTTTCCATAACATGATTTTTGTAAACCCGTGCAAATGTTGAAGACACACGTCTTCATTTTTTTAAAGTCATAGGAGTCGTAAGAATTAATGACCAGTAACGAATGTGAACAATTTGCGTTAATAGGTGTTGTGTAATTCTATGTTAAGACAAGAGTATTATTTTTTGACATTCAAGTTAAGAAATAACTATAGGTAAAACCTATTATAAAAATATAAAATGATTTTAATCAACTTTGAAATTACCGGTAAACACCGACATGTAATTTCTTATTTTATTTATGATATACTATGAATAATTTGCTAAATACGATGTATGTATGCGTATGTCGTAGGATAATTAGATAAACAGAATTTTCCGCAAAAATCTAGAGAAATCGCGAAACACGGTTATTTAGACAATTGGTGGAATCTGTTCTCTTAAAACCGAAGCAGCACGCCCAGACTCCACGTAGTATTTCCTGCCCTACCCCTGGAATGTTTTTGTAAAGCCGTAGGCGCGGAGGGAGAGCTGCCAGGAGCCGTAGCGTCTGAGGCTGGTCGCGAAATGCAACCAATATGCCAAATCTGCAGAGGTGAGCAAAGGTACCTGCGATTTGCTACGCAGGGGCGAAGGGGCTCCACTTCCTGCAAAAAGAAGTTGAGACAGAAGTAACTTTGGGTCAATATTCTTGTGTAAATAGTAATGTGTTCAAAGTGAGGTTATGATTTTACAAAAAAAATCATCACTTATAAACTATACGACTATAAACCAAAATCAAGCCGATCAGAGTTAAGTATATTCAAAGTTGCAAAATTCCTAATCTTTTTTCAGTAAGATTGAGAAATATTGGAGGTCACGCGCGATCCGTTGAAATGTAAAACGGTTATCAGTCAGCTGTTACTTTATTTTGTTCCTAGTACTCTTGAAAAGTTATTGAGACGTTTCTGAAGTCAATATATTTTGTTATTTAAGTAAGATACAGTGAATTAATTTGTTTAATACTTTGTGCAAAGTGTATTAGTGTATTATAAAGTGCATTAATTATGTGCATTTGTTTATACCGTGAATGTCAGCTGAGAGTTACGTCACCTATCTTTTGCTTGTATCGGTCGTTGACCTGTATTTGCGCATAGCCCATCTTGCTCTCTCACACAACAAGACCTGTTGCTAAGCAAGGGTGTATTTGGCCTGTCGGTTTATTTACCGAGTACCTGCTTTTTTGATTTATTTGCTTGCTGTCTACATAAATTATTTATACAAATTATACAAAACCATGAAATGCTTAGCATGTTCCCAGGTGATTCGTCGCGAAGAATTATTGGTTTGTATACGCTGTAAGGGGACGTATCATTATAAATGCTTAAATATTACTACGGCTCAGTTTATGAATAAAAATCATGATATTAAGCGTACATGGTGCTGTCCTTCGTGTGTGAATGTAACATCACGCCGTATTAAAGACGACACACCTGTTAGAAAACAATTCGAATCAACGCTTAACCAGACTGACATGTCATACGAGGAAATTATTCAGGGTCAGGGGGATTTTAATGAGTCGCCATCTTGTGAGCAACCTAATACGATCATCAGCAGTAGTAAGTTACAATGCCAGTCAGATAAATGTATTAATATCCCCCTTGAGCAACTTTCTTCCCTTCTAGATAGGAAATTAAATCATATGCGTAGCTCAATTACTAAGGAGATTAAGCAAGAGTTTGGTATAGCAGTGGATAAACTCAAAAAAGAATTTACGGAGACTACAGATTTTTTATCTGCTCAACTAGTAGAGGTAAAGAGTGACATATCGGCATTCAGTAACAAAATATTTCTTTTAGAGAATGAAAATGAAAAACTACAGGCTGAGTTGTGTTTTTTAAAAAACCAAAATTTTCCTTCCACATATCAGGATTTGCGTAATACCATAACTCAGTTACAAGTTAATCTTAATGAGCGTGATCAACAGGCTTTATTAAATGACTTAGAGATTTCTGGTATCCCGGAAAATGTCAACGAATCAGTTCAGCACATCGTTGTTGCGGTAGCAGCGAAGTTGGGCACTCAGCTCGAAGAGAGTGACATAGTTAGCGCCAGTAGAGTGGGAAATAGTCAGCGCCTTTCGGATTTAAAAGCTCAAGCCCTGGGACGTCCCTCACGTCATCGTCATATTGTGGTACGCCTCTGTCGTCGAGTTATTCGAGACGAATTGTTACGAAATGCTCGCGTTCGCCGTGGGGCTACAACAGCGGATCTTGGCCTCCCATCACATGAAACTAGACCTTTTTATCTCAATGAGAGACTTACTAGTACAAATCGACAATTATTTGGGAAAGCACGTGATATTGGAAGAGGTCTTAATTGGAAATACATTTGGACTAAAGATGGGCGTATATTTGCTAGACAAAGTGATAGTTCAAAAATATACCAATTGCGATCTATTGCTGATATTGAAC